AAACACAAAAAGCCAATGTTGAACGCTGTGCACACAAGTTCCATGCGCTGTCTTGCACACACACACTAAGCCACACTTGCTGCTGTGCACGTACATGCACACAGCATTATATCATTAGCGGTGATGAAGTGCCATGCCATGGCGTGACCTGCAGCAGGCGAGTTGATCATGCCGTCAATTAGTTCTCTCTCGGTCCACTAATTATACTGTCACATCCCGTTGACGCGCCATAGAGATTCGATGGGAAAGAACACTAACTCTCTGTATTTCCTGGGCCAAGAGGTCAATGAGCTGTTTCAGATACTGAGGTCTGATTAGATGTACCTGGTGGCCACAGGGAGGAGGAGGAGGAGGAGGGCATGCTTGTGTGGGCAGAGAGGAGGGGAAGAGAAAGAAAAGAGGATGGCTTTGGTCTGAAATATCTCAACAACTATTGGATGGATTTCTATGAAACTAACTAACTAACTAACTAACTTTTCCTCTAGTGCCACATCATTGACATGACATGGACCATTCATGGGGCTGTGAATGAATCTTAAGGACTTTGGTGATCCCCTTAGTCGTCATCTTACACCATGATCAGAATTTCAATTTGCCAGATACTTTGGTTTATGGCCAAAAAACTGCAAGACTAATGACAATGCCATCAGCCAGTGAACATGGTATTTTATACCTGCTTAACATTAGGATGTTAACATTGTCCATATTGTTAACACTTAGCTGCAAGTACCACTGTGCCAAATTACAGCTAATTTCCTGTTAATCTATGTGAATGATTAATCAACTAATTGCTTTTTCACTAATTGATATATAGCAAAAGGCTGAGCTTATTGAGCTGAATCGCAGGCTAAAGAAAAGAAATCTAGTTATCGCTTTTCACCCAGTGATCAAACCCTGACTCTGATTCATAATCCAAACCAACTGTGTTAGATTGAGGATTGTTCTGCTACAGCGTAGTCTAGTTTAGCCTCTTTTCCTCCAAGATTCTCTTATATCCTGATCTAATTCTCTTCTCTTTTCCTGCTTTTCCCCAGCCTTATCTTGTCTAGTCTGCTCTGGTCTGTTTTGATCTCACTGATAATATGAACAGATTCCGATATTTCCCCATAGCTCAGAGAGCAATCTGAAACCCTCTGGGGTCTCATTTATAACCGTGTATAAGCCGTTGGTTAAGCACCAAAACAAGGGGCTGAAAGTGGCGTTACGTGATTTTCCATCGCCAAGGTATGTGATCTATAAAAAACAAACTTGACGACGAGAATGTGCGCAGCCCTATATCAAACTCTGACCCATGCTGTACGGGCAGAAGTTTGGAGGAAAAGGAGAATTGGCAAGACACAGACGGATGTGGTGGTGAACTGAAGTCAACTGAAGAAATGTAGAGTGAGAAGAGACGATTATGT